CATGATAAATATTTCTTCATCTCTTCACTTTCTTATTTTTTAAATTTTTTAATTATTATTATTACTATTATCATTATTACTTGAGAGAAAGAGAGAGATAGAGAGAGAGACAGAGAGACAGAGGGAGAGAGAGAGGAGGAGGAAGAGGTGCAGTGAGAGAGGGACACATTGAACCTGAAGTAGACTCCAGGCTCTAAGATGTCAGTACAGAGCCTGATGTGGGACTCAAACCCATGAGCTGTGAGATCCCGACCTGAGCTGAAGTCAGGCACTTAACTGACTAAACCACCCAGGTGCCCCATCCATCTCTTCACCTTCAATCTGCAGGTGCGTTTAGGTCTAAAATGAGTCTTTCTAGGCAGCATATAAAGGCATCTTGTTGGGGTTTTTTTGTCCATTTTGACAAAGTATGTCTTTTGATTGCAGTGTTAACTTCATTTATATTCAGACTCATTACTGAGTATTTCATGTATTTCATGCCATTTAATTACTTGTTTTGTCATGCCATTATTTTTGGAGATTTTTCTCTGTTCCTTTCTAGTCTTCATCACTTTTAGACTTTTCTTCCCACTCAAAGAGTTCCCTTTAATATTTCTTGCAGGGCTAGTTGGGTGGTCATGAAGTCCTTTAGTTTTTTTTTTTTTTTTGTCTAGGAAACCCTTTATGTCTCTTCTGTTATGAATGATAGCCTTGCAAAATATAGTATTCTTGGCTGCAGATTTTTCCTAATATCATGCCACTCCTTTCTGGCTTGCAAATTTCTGTGGAGAGGTCTCCTGCTAATCTTGCTGCTCTTCCCTTATAAATTAGACACTTCTTTTGTCTTGCTGCTTTTAGGATTCTTTACTGTTATATTTTATAAATTTAATTACAAGATGTCTTGGTACTTGTCTGCTTTTGTTGATTTTGATGGGAGTTCTCTATGCCTCCTGGATTTGGATATCTGTTTCCTTCACCAGATTAGTTTTCAGCTAGTATTTCCTCAAATAAACCTTATACCACCTTTTCTTTCTCTTCTAGGACTCCTCTGATATGAATACCGTTAAAATTGATGGAATAACTGAGATCCTGAAGTCTATTCTCATGACCTATAGTTCTTTCTCTTTTGTTTTGCCTCCTCATTTACCAAATTCTATTTTTTATGTCACTATTTGCTCCTCTGATTCTTCCATCCTTGTGGTCATTACATTCAAATGGTTTTGAATCCAATATAACCAAATGGTTATATTTTTCATTTCCACCTGCTTATTTTTCAGCTTTTTTTATATCTGTGGCAAGGGTCTCCCTAATGTCTTTCATGCCTTACTCAAACCCAGCAAATATCCTTATGATTGTTGCTTTAAATTAACCTTCTGGCATATTGTTTATATCAGTTTTTATTAGGTCTCTGGCCATGACCTTTTCTTGTTTTTTCTTTTGGGATGAATTCCTCCATCTTGGCATTTTGTCTCGGTCTCTGTCTTCTTTGTGTTAGAAAAGCCTGTTATGTTTCCTGTTCTTGCAGGTAATGGCTGTATAAAGAAGATGTCATATAGTGTCCAGGGCTTGGTTCTTCCAGCAGTGTCTCTGGCATGTTTTGCATGCACTCTGCTCCTATGTTTTAGCTGCTTTATTCCTCAGGTCAATCCTCTGCAGAAGCTCCTCTTGCCTATAGTGGTTAGTGTTGGGATATTACCCAGAGTATGGTGAATTTAACTAGGTGTGCTCTGGTCAGCTGTTAAATGAGACTCAATGGTATTTCCTCTAGAACTGAAGACTTACAGAACTCTACAGTCTATAGATGTGGTGCGTGCAGAGGTTTCTGCTGGTCTTCTGGGGAAGGGGCCTGCTGGGTGGTCCTTAGGCACATGTGCTGGAAAAAAGCAGCATCAGCAGAGTGCAGCAGGCAGGACTTGGTGTAAGCAGATTAGGCAGCCATTGTTGGCACTGTACTGTTTACTGAAGTTGGTTTATGCTGAGGGGGAGTGGAGGTGAATGGTGTCAGCTAGCTCCTTTGTCTCAGAAAGGGGACTCTATACTTGCTGCTCTCCATGAATCACTCACAGAAGAGTGAATAATATCCTTTTCTGTGTACCAGGCATTTTTCAGATTGTTGTTTTCACACTGTCTGTCTCTGGGTTGCTTGCCTGCCAGGAGCAACTCAGTGCAATTCAGCCTTTATTCCAGCAAAGCCTGCTGACTTTTATAACTTTAAACCTTAGGGATGTGTTGTGATGGGGGCCTATGCTGATATTCTGGAGGAGGATCTTGCCACATGGGGGCAGATGCAAGTTTTGCCAAGAAGGGAATATGTGTGAGAACACAAAGACTTAGGATTTGGAGTCAGCAGGCTCAACAGTCAGGTTTGGGTTAGCCACCTTCAGCAGGTGTCTCTGTACCTATGCTGAGGGGCAGGGAAGGGAAATGATGCCCACCAGCTATTCTGTCGCCATATAGGCAATTCTGGAAAGCCACCTCTCACTTATGTGCTCCAAAAGCTAACATTCTCTCCCCATGCACCTTAGGTGATCCTCAGATTGTTCTGTCTGCCCAGAATTGCTTGAACTGCCTTCTCTCCTGGAGTAGAGCAGCTCCAGAGTTCTATCTAGCCTCTCAAACTCTAATCTTTGGGCCCCACTGGTTGCCAAAACTCATGAAAACCAACCTCTTGTTTTCCTTGACAGTGTGTCCTCTTTGTTCATTTCCTTGTGTGCTTCTCTCTCTCTCTCTCTCTCTCTCTCTCTCTGGTCCTTCTCCATGACCATGTCTCCCTCCTCCTGCAGCACCCACGATCTGTTTCTTCCCCAAACTATGTGTCCACACTTCTTAACCTCCTTTATGTTGCCCCTTCTCTCCTTCTTGTTGTGCAGGTTGTTCTGTCAGTCCTCAGGAGGATTTCTTGAGTATCAGAATGACTTGTTATCTATCTAGCTGCATTTGAGGGATGAGGCAAGCCTAGGGTTCTTGTACTATGCCACCACCTTAGCTATCCCCACCCTGTATGAGCTGCCTTCAATTAGTTCAAAGCCCTTAGAGCAAAACTAAAGTTTCTTGGAAGAAGAAGAAATTGTATCTGTGTACTGCATCTTCAATGCCTGAGAGTTCCATTTTTCCCTTCCTAACAACTTACCCTACACAGTTTGGGCTTGACTAATAAGCTCTCACAATGGTGAATGTAACTCCTTATCATAGATTGAAACAAATGAAATAAATCTGACATCGTTAATTTGTGTAAAAAAATATTTCTAGAAAGATATCTCATTGAACCAAATTATGGCAACTGAGGAATATTTGGAACAGTGCCATGGAAGTTAGGTCAGTCTTCATCTTTAGGGATTGGAAAAAATGAACCACTTGCGTAAGGCCCACAACATCGAAACATTAAGAATGATAATTATGTAATATCACCCCTGAGATTAAAAAAGACCTAGCAAGAGAATAAAAATTAAAACCAAAAAGAAGAATAACAGAAATAGCATTGCAAGTATCTATAGAACTTGCATTAACAAAAGAATTTACGGACTAAAAGATGTAAGTTCAAGAGCTGCAATATATTGATGTTAATATATTGATGCTCATTAATCTCACTCAGTTTGAAAGATATCACATCAAGAGCATCTCAAGAAAGAAATGGAAATCTCCTGATAGTCGCTACATTGTTTTTGGAATTTATATATGAATCAAGGAGGATTTTGCAAAATGGAATTCCACTTGCTTTTCTGATCATAATTCAATATGGAAATAAAAAGGGAAAAAGAAAAAGCTATAAGGAAATTGAACTTGAATAATAAATAGAAAGAATGCAGGTATCGTCCTCAGAAACAATAAATACATCTTGAAAAGCAATATGCTAATTCTTTGTATACTACGAGGTATCTTTTTTCCCTTAAAAACTGTGAAAGCAAAACCAAATGATTTTCTTTGTGCACCTGGCATCCGACACAATTAGTCATTTCTGAGTATCCTTAGGAAAGCACAGCTTTTCTCATGGATGTAAGTGCTTTCAGCTCATTTCAATAAAAGACATTTCTGTCCTGCGGCATCCCTTTTTGAGACAGTGGAATTGGAGCATTTAGATAAAAACAAACTCTCTCTGCTCAGAATGTGATTAAAGCTGCTATGTGGGCAGTGAGCAGAGAGCAAAGGGGCTGGAGACATCAATCTGAGTCTTGCAATACGCTTTCAGTTAAAAAGGGAAACCCAGGTGATGCTTTTACATTTCACAGGCCAGTTGGTAAAGATGAGAATCCCTCAACAAAATGAGGCTGCCTTCAATCCCACAGTCAGTTCCAGCACTGGCTCAGTTTGTAGACCCACATACACTGAATTGCTAATTAAGTTCATAGTATATGGAAATTTCAGCAAACTCAGTTGTATGGAACACAACAGGAGAAAAAGCTTATGAACGCACAGGAGGGTTTTTGTTTAGCTATCTCTCAGAAGTGATGCAATTAGATATTCTTTTTGTTTTTGCCTGTCTCAGAATTACAAAAATAGCATTCTCATTTGCACATCATCTCTTTCGCTACCGTGAGCTATGTGGCCCATTTTACTTAAGTTCATTGTCTTAGGGCACCTGGGTGGCTCTGTCTGTTGAGCGTCCGACTTTGGCTCAGGTCCTGATATTGCATTTCTTGGGTTCGAGCCCCATTTCAGGCTTTGTGCTGACAGCTAGCTCAGAGCCTGGAGCTTGCTTCGGATTCTGTGTCTCCCTCTCTCTCTGCCCCTCCCCTGCTTGTGCTCTGTTTCTCTCTGTCTCTCCAAAATAAATAAATGTTAAAAAATTAAATAACAAAACAAAACAAACTAGAGTTCCTTGTCTTTAGCAACACCATAAGCAACTGGAAATTTTGACTGTTTTGCTTTTTTTCTTAAATTTGTGTTTGCTTAAAATGTAACACTCTTCTGAGGTAACCATTCTTTGAAATCTAAGATCATATTCAAATAAACAAGCTGTTTCTACTTTTCCCATAGTTAAGTATAATATTGCAATCAATAAAACAACAGGTGGTTAGTGCCTGACTATCACAGGAAAAGTGACGACTTAGATGTGTATGTCTAACAATATAAATTTGTAATACATTACTAACCTAACACAGAAGAAGGGAAGATGTAAAGTATTATATAAAGCAATCATGGAGGGGAAGTAAAATGAAAATGGAATGTGTTAAAATATTTGTAACTCAGAAATACCAGGGCAGGTTCTCCCAAATTGTATGACTAAAATTATGCTAGAATGTAATTTTCTTAGCCATCCCCCAAGGGATCTGTATGTATTTACCAGAGTGACTGTGCATCGGAGAAAGGAAAATAATCAGATTTTTCCAGTGCTCCCCTTCCTCCACAAAAAGGGATATCCTCAAATGCAACATTCAAATTCACCGTCTTGGAGATTCACAAGGTCCAAGTCCTGCGTTAAATTATAAAATAGAACAAAACAAACCATCAAACAAACTTTGTGTCGGTTTGGTTAGGTCAATGGATCTCAAACTCATGTGAGCACTGACACTTCTTTACAGAAATCTATTTTTTATCAAACAAAATATTAGTCTGAGAATTTGTTTTGGAAAAGCTGAACTGGACTGTTAGCTTCCCAATCTGGATTTATTTTTTAAAAATCTGTTTGTTTGTATCTAAATGAAGTTTATTGCTTTTTAAAAAATCATTGTCATATTTGATTTGGAGACTCCATCAAATTCTATACCATTGTCACACTCAGTCCTCTACAGATTTTAGTCCCCAGTCATGTAGATTCATTTGGTACAGAAGTTTACATTTACATCGGTATATTGCTCGTAATTCCTCTGAAGACTATTTTACATTTTCTTTCTCCTCACACCTTCCCTTACTCTCTTAATGCTGGTGACTTTGATTTTGTTTTCATTGAGAAAATAAAAGAAATAAAAACAGACCCATTCATCTTTCTGTGAACAAACTTATATATGTACCTGCACTCATATATCCTGCTTTTCCACCTGTTACCAATAATCAAATCTGTAGAAATGTTTCCAACTGAAAACAAATAAAAACCTCTTTGATACACTGTGCTCTCATATAACTAGTTGCTATCACCTTCACATCTGCCTGTTCTTTTTTAACTCAAACACTAATTTTGACTGAGAAGTTGAAGAGCAGTAAGAAATTACTATGGCAAATGTTACCAAAACCTTCACTGGTCAACCCCAGTGATAAAATTTAACCAACATCATACAGATATTAATCATTTTATACAAAACACTCTTCCTTCTTTCATGAAAACTTTTTCTTTTATGGATTCCCAAATACAAACCTCTATTGGATTTCTCCCTTCTTAATGAATCTTCTTCAGTCTAATTAATGACTTTGTCTCCAACTCCCAAAGTTTATGCGCTCACTCTCAGACCTTTTCTTCTCTCTTTTGAGTTGACTACACTCACTCTCATGCATTTGAATTCATTTTATACGCTGACAACCCTCAAATGTATCAACTGAGTTCATAATTTGGTATTTCCACTTCTAAACATCTTAATTTAAATATGAATTTGGCATGCAAAACTTAGCATGGTCAAAATTGATTTCCTGACTCATAAGTCATGGAAATACTCATGCTCCTCCAGTATTCTTTGTGTCAGTGGGTGATACCCAAGCCCCAGGATTTATCCGTGCTCTCTCAGTCTCTGAAATTGCACATACTGCTTATCAATCCACCAGTTGCTCAGCTATCTGTGAGTTGGCTGTTTACTGTCTGTAAGCTTAGCCATAAGCTTTCAAATATGACTTCTTCTCACCCTTTCTACTGCTACTAGTCTAAACCACCATCATCTCTTTTCCCAATTACTTTTAAAAATCTATGAACAAGCTGGTCTTTGAAATTTCACCTGATTTCTTACTTCTACACACAATCTTAAGTAATTGGATTTTGATTCTAATTCAATCCCCCTGGCCTTACTGTTCTTGAACCCACAGAGGCCATTCCTTTCACAGACCTTTGTGATTGTTGCTGCTTGTTTTTAACCAGGAAAGTCTTTCCTCTGGTCTCTATATATCTGGTTTCTTTATGTTATTCTTGTGTCTTCTTCTTTGTTATCATTCCAGAAAAGAGACATCTTTCCCCAGCACCCCCCTCTACCTAATCTCTCCCTTCTTCCCTCACTCTGCATTCCCCAATCTTGATTTAATTGTGTGTATTCCATTGTTCTGAATAATAATAATAATTGATGATAGCCACACTTTTGGTTTTGTGGAGGAAAATTTCATTAATTAAAAGAGAAAGGGAATATAAAGAATTAAACAATTACAGTAAACATAAAGAGGGAGAGATAAGTATAGAGAAGAACAAAAAAGGCTTAATACAGCAACTCAGGTATTCACAACATCCAACTTTCTGGCTGGGGAAGCACCGCCGTGAACATCTGGGTTGGGGTCCCATTCGAAGGTCCTGGGCAGAGCGTACCCCTCTCAAGTGAGACTTCCAACTACCTATTCCCGCCAGGACAATATATGTACTACCCGTGTGTGATTCATGGTTAGTCATTAAGTTTGCCTAAGTGCAGTCCCGGGTGAGCTGGTTTTTCTGTTTTTCTTACTGTATCTCATGATCTCAGAGGCCAAATCGTCTGCATATTCCTCTTCCCTCCTGATCCATTCCAAGGGGCCAGCCTGGTCTGACTCGAGAAGAGGAGGCGCCAATCATTCTTGGCGTCAGGAACCGAAGGGCCAGTTCTGATCCGGAGGCCAGACATTGAGTACAAGCCAGCTAAGGCCCTAGGGCTGCATACATATGGCTTTGGACAGAAATGCATAGCAAGTCACACAAACAAGTTCTATACCGATCAGCCATTTGTCATCAACCTGAAACTGTAATTTAGGTATGTGTTTTTTTCCTGTATTTTCCACTAGAATATGAACTATAAACAGCAGCAAATAATCTGCCAGTTTACTTCTCTATTCCCCTGTCTTTGGACAGTACCTGTCACAAAATAGATTCCCCAAAATATTTGTTGAATAAAATAATCATATGCTTCTTCTGTCACATGTGCTGTGCTATATTCATTCATGTTTCAAATGAATGACATATGGTCCCTGAAGGAGTTCACACCGAGCTGGGTTCTTGATGGAAAGCAATGAATTGTCTGGTTTCCTCTTATAATTGAATTTAAAAGTTTAACCTAGTGAAACACTGCCAAGTTATTTTAGTTTTTCTTTAAAAATGTTAAAGACTTATTTTGTAAATAGTGAATTAAGTCAAGTAGGATCAAGACAATTGCTAAAAGTCCTAACTTATGTGGTTATTATAATTAGTTTTATTTATTTTCCCAGTATTCCTAAGATTTTTATCTCTTTCATTACTTCTACTTTATGCTCCTATAAAAATATTATAAAAATGGCCTGAACTTAATGTTTTATAAAGAAAAAAGGCATTTAGAACATACACATAAATTAACAAATTCTAGAATACATTTTTGGTACAATATGGCATAAAATAGGAATGAAAATAAATGCTGCCTATGGAAGAGAAGTTGAGTTTTACCTTTTAGATAGTGGATTTCTTGAATAGAAGTTAGGAATTAATGTTACAGGCAAGGCTGGCTGTGTACTAACGAACATTCTTTGTACATGACCAGTGCCCACACTGGAACAGTTGTTGTATACTTCAAATGCATCATCTTGTTACAGAAAATGGGTGGAGATTTCCAAATACACTTAGATATAATAAACGTGGTACAGGGATACAGGTGTAGGATTATCTATATCAGGTGGATCTAAAGAAACACTATTAAGTTCTGAATTCAGTTATTAAATCGACAACTTTGTAGCATCTGGTGAAATAGCTCTGTCTTTGAACCTGTGTCAACTCCCTTGGCATCTCATCCAATCTTCTAACTGTAAATGTCATCTATACCTTCCTGACTTCCTCCTTTTGTGTCTCCAGTGCAGACATCTCCCTTGCACATCTGGGCTTGTGTGTTTGTGGCTTATGAGCTCTCCATTTGAATGTCTAAAACTTAATACCTAAGTCCCTCCAAATTCTGCATAATGCTCAGTCTGCTTGATCTCAATGATGGCAACTCCTTCTTTGTAGGTTTTATCCCCAAAAGCTATCACCATCTCTTCTGTTTTTTTTAAAATATTTTAAAAAAATGTTTATTTATTTTTGAGAGAGAGAGAAACACAGAGTTTGAGTGCGGGAGGAACAGAGAGAGAGGGAGACATAGAATCTAATGCAGGCTCCAGGCTCAGAGCTGTCAGCACAGAGCCTAATGTGAGACTTGAACTCGTGAATTGTGAGTTCATGACCTGAGCTAAAGACAGACACTTCACTGACTGAGCCTCCCAGGTACTCCCCTCCCCCATCGCCTCTATTTTTCTTGTATCTAATATTCCATTTGTTAGAAAATATGGCTGGCTATATATTCCAAGAATGTCCAGAATCCAGTGACTTCTCAACACTTCCACCACCGTCCAGATGACCCCCAGTCCAGGACACCATCACCAGTTACTGGAGTTTTTGTCTTATTCTCTGTGATATTTTTCTCCTTCTACGCCATGATAGGATTGCTCTTTTCTATTCCCTTTGATGTTAGACATGACAGTGTGACTTGCTTTTGCTAATAAAACATAAATGGCAGTGACGCAAGTAGCGTTGAGAACTGAGGCATATTTTGCTACATACCCTTTTCTACCTGACATACTGTAGAAATCACCAACACAGCACTTCTTCCTTCCAGTTTAAGCTCCTTAATGGCCATGGTGAGCAGAGAACCCTGTAAACTTGTGTTGGGAATGAATACATAACAAGTAAAATTTATTGTGGGTGATTTAGTAAGGTTATGGGATTGTTTGATACATCAGTATGACCAAGATTAGTGTAAGTAGTCTGAACTCCTAACTGGAACACATGCCTCTACCAGGTCTACTCTTAAAAATGCAGCCAGAGCAATCCTGATATAATGGAAATTAAGTCTTGCCACTCTTCTGTCCAAAACTTATCTATGACTCCTTATTTCTTTCCGAATAAAAGAGAGATTCCTTACTTTGATATCCAAGGCCCAGTGTGATCTGACTCCCATTCGCTTTCTGACCTTATTGCTTTCAACTATTTGTGTAGCTCCCTCTACTCCAGCCATAGTCACTTTCTTTTTGTTGTCGTTGTGACATGGCAGGCATGCTCCGAACTCTGAGGCTCATTCCTCTCCCTGAAGTGCTTGTCTGTCACACATTCCTGATGGATCACTCCCAGTGTTCCTTTAAACCTTTTCCTAAATGTTACCTTCTCAGTGAAGGGTTTTTTTTCTATCTAACTGTTTTCAAGTTGCAGTCTCTTCCTAAAATGCACCATGCTCATAAATCTGATCTAGTTTTCCTGGCACTATCACTTAATGAACATAATTTGTTAATTTATTATGTTTGTGGAACTCTGTCTGACATTCTACAATAGAATGTGGCTTCACAAGGGCAAGGATTATTTTGTCTGTTTTGCTCAATGGTGTATCACACAGAGCTTGACACCATTGAATGTGTTGCTGATTAAATGATGAATGAATACAATTGGGGGATAATTTATTTTTAGCTCATTCTATTTTACATGTTCCATTGAATATTTTATTAAGTGGAATATTGTTGGAACATTGACAGAGTCCTGATCCTCAAACAGGAAAAAGAATGTGAGCATATCTGTTTGTGCGAATTTAGCAAATTTTACTAAAGAGCTATGTGTTGAGGATGGTCCTACATGGTGGTGTAGGGAGATCCTGAACTTATCTCCATTCACAGACACACCAAATCTACAACTACATGGGGAAAAATTCCTTTGAAAAAACACCTGAAAAGTAGCAGAACGGCTTCTTCACAACGAATGGTGAAAGGTCTACAATGGAGGCACAAAGATGTGACCTTGCCAAAAACCTCACCCTCCACATGACAATCCACAATTAGGAGGAATCTCACAAAAGCAGTTTCTCCCTGAAGAGTGAGAGGTTGTTTTCCTCATCAGGCACTCCAGCCCTTGAGACCTGCAATAAAGAGATGAGCCCCCAAATTGTCTGTCTTAGAAGACTAATGACCAGGCAACCTAAAAAACTGGAGGGAACCAAAATGCTTCCTTTGGAAGGCTCACTTTCAGATTCACTCATGCTGGAGACCAGCAGAAAAGCAGCTGTTAGAAAACCTCCTAGACTATATGAGGGAGACACTCATTTGCTAATCTTAAGGGGTCTTCTGGAGGGGTGGGGGCCTGTTAGGGGGCCTCAGCAATGGAGGTACAGGCAGGGGTCATTTATGAACTTTTCCTCTACCCAGAGAGTGCTATCAGGCAAGCCCTGGCCCTGCACTCTCCCATGACCCAATAATAGCCAGTGGGCACACTCCAGCTCTGTGCTCCCCACTGCCTTATTAAAGCCTATAGAAGAGAGTAGTCCACACATGGGACGTTCCTTGATTGCTTGGCTCCAGGAGCCATGGAGCTTGCATTCCTGGATCCCACAGGACTGTACCTATCAGAGAAACAGTTCTTGGCAAGCTACCAACTCCAGGGCAATACAAAGGCTGAAACACACCCTCAGTTTTTCTATGAAAAAATCCTATTGACTTGCCCTGAAACTTTAGCCTGAGGGGCAGAAATCAGGTTTGCCATATATCTAGAAGCTCCAGAGGTGCTCTCAGGGAACATAGACCAGAGAAACACCATCTTAGTTCCATCCCTCAGTATCACTAAAGTTTTTTGGTACCCTCCAGAATGGAGCTTATGCGCTCATCTGAAAGCCCTAGTAACTGCAACTGTTGTCCAGGGGAAACCTTCAGATTGTCTGATCTGGAGGCAAGCAAAGTATAAGACATGTTTTTGTATATAGAAAGCTCAAAGATTCCACCAAAAACTGTTAAAACTAACAAATTCAGTAAGCCTTCAAGGTACAAAATTAACATAGAAAAATCTGTTGCATTTCTAACACTAACAAAGAATTATCAGAAAGAGAAATTAAGAAAACAGAATCATTTATATTTGCATCAAAAATAACAAAACATCTAGGAATAAATTTAACCAAGGATGTGAAAGACTTGCACACTGAAAACTATAAGATGGTGATGAAATTAAATATAAATAAATGGAAAGACATTCCATGTTCATGGATTAGAAGAATTAATATGGTTGAAATTTCATACTAGGAATTCAGTGTAATCCTTATCAAAATCCCAATGGTGTTTTTCAGAGCAAAAGAAAAAATAATTCTAACATTTGTATGGAAACACAAAAGACTCAAAACAGCCAAAGCAATCTTGTGGAAGAAGAAAAAAACTAGAGGCAGCACATCACACTCTCTTATTTCAAAGTATATTATAAAGCTGTAGTAATGAAAGCAATATGTTATTACCATAAAAACAGACACATAGGTACATGGAACAGAATAAAGAGCCCAGAGATAAATAAATGTGTGTATGTTTAATTAATTTATGACAAAGAAATCAAGATATACAATGGGGAAAGGACAGTCTTTTTAATAAACGATATTGTAAAAACTGGACAGCCAAACGCAAAAGAATGAAACAAGATCACTATCTTACATTGTATTCAAAACTTAACTCAAGATGGATTAAATACTGTAATGTAAGACTTGAAATTATAACACACCTAAGAAAAATCAGGCAGTAAATTACTTGACATTGGTCTTAGCAATGAGTTTTTTGGATCTAACTCCAAAAGCAAAAATAACAGAAGCAAAAATAATCAAGTGGGACTACAACAAACAAAAGGCTTCTGCATGGCGAAGGAACATTTCAACAAGTAAAAAGCAGTCTACTGAATGGGAGAAAGTATTTGTAAATCATATCTCTGAGAAAGGTTTAATATACAAAATTATTAAGAACGCATACAACTTAGGGTGTCTCTGACTCTTGATTTTAGCTCAGGTTATGATCTCACATTTTGTAGGTTTGAGCACCATGTTGGGATTCTCTTCTTTCCCTCTCTCTCTGCCCTTCCCACCTCATGTACTCTCTCTCTCAAAAATAAATAAATGTAGAAAAAGAACTCATACAACTCAATAGCAAAATAAACTAAAAACTTTAAGCAATCTGATTAAAAATGGGCAGAGAATCTGAATAGACATTTTCCAAAGGAGACATACAAGTGGCCAACAGACACATAAAAACATGCTGAAATTCCCTAATCATCAGGGAAATGAAAATAAAAATTACAACAAGATACCACCTATTAGAATAACTATCATCAATATATATCCAATATAATAGTGGATTATTGCTGAGCCATTTTAAAAACACAATGAAATCTTGATATTTGCAACAAGGATGGACCTTGTGAATATTATTTAAGTGAAATAAGTCAGACAGAGAAAAACAAATACCATATGATTTCACCTACATGTTGAATCTAGAAAACAATGAATGAACAAAATGAAACAGAACTTATAGATACAGAGCACAAAAAGGTGGTTGCCCATAGGAAGGAGGGTTGGGAATGGTTGAAATGGGTGAAAACAGTAATGAAGTACAAACTTAGTTGTAAAATAAACAAGTCACGGGAATGCAATGCACAGTATGGTGACTCTAGTCAATAACACTATAGTCCATATTTGAAAGTTGCCAAGAGAGTAAATCTTAAGAGTTCTCATCACAAGAAAATAAATTTTGTAACTCTTCATGGTGGCAGATGGGGATGAGACTCACTGTGATGATCATTTTGCAGTGTATACAAATATCACATCATTACATTATACACCTGAAACTAATATGCCAATTATACCAGAAAAGGGAACTGTGTTAAAAGATGTATTTTAGATTTTTTTCTCCTATTAGGTGATACTAAAAATCAGGTCTTTACCTTGGGAGTGTTGAGGTTGTTATGCATGGTTTAAACAAATAATTGAGAAACTGTCATGTTTAAAAGATGGGGTAAGGAATGAATATTGACACACAAATAGACTAGAATGAACAATGCCTATCTTGTCAATTATTAATCTATTTTATTAATAGTATTAATCATCTTTAATCAAAAGTAATTATTTCTAATTCTATATAGCTAAAGTTTTTTTCCTGACCCTTTGTCCTTGCTGACTCTACCATTGTTACAGCCTAGGTAAAGAAAATACTTTTAGATATTTATGTGATTGTTCTTCCAAAGTCTTTATTATGCTCAGTTTCTCTCATCTTTTGAGAGGAAGTTTATAGTTACTAGGAAAACTATTAGCAAGTACATCAGATTGTAAGCTGAAATAATAACCCATTCTTAGGTGAAACATGACATTCAATGTCCATATGTCTCTTGGTGTTTCTCAGTATAAGGAAAATATAATGAGTACAGGAAAAAAACGACATTCCCTTTTTCCATCATAAAATAAAATTATTTTCTAAAATCTTACAACAAGGTATGGAATGAATGTTTGTGCACCTACTCTCATCAAATTCATATTTTGAAATTCTAACCTCCAGCGTGATATTATTGGGAGATGAGTCTTTGAGATAACTAAACGTAGATAACTAACTTGAAAATAGAGTTCTCATGAATGAGATTAGTGCCTTCATAAGAAGAGACTCAAAGAGTTCTCTCACCCATTTGGACATGTGAGGACACAGTGAGAAAATGCCCACTTATGAGCCCAGAGACAGGCTTTCATCATATACGTAATCAGTTGATTTCTTGATCTTGGATTCCCCAGCCTCTAGAACAATAAGAAATATATTTCTTATGAGTTACTTTATTTATGGTATTTTTGTATAGTAGCCTGAATGGACTAAGACAGACACCTT